AAATCCTTAATAAAAATGCCGTCCAGCTTGAATTTTCATCTGATCACTAAGATGTATGGACTATATACAGCGGACTATAGTCCACATAAGTCCTATAGGGCGTCCTATAGGACTTATGTGTACGTACATGCCACCAGCTCAGATATTTTTCACATGATAAAAACAATGGGTTACGTGCAAATCTTGTCTTTAAAACTGTTTTGGAGGGCTTACCACAACCGACTCGACATCGTTGTTCATATTGGTTGACAACGAGTAGCCAAACAATTCCCTACCGATTTCATTTGTGGCACGCGACGACCTATAAATATCTGCAGGCACAGGTCTGCATACGTCACGTAGCGAACGACACCAATTAACGGATCCTGACGAACCGTCGAAAGGGGCGCCAATTAGGATTCTTAAAAAGGTCAAAATATCACGTAAGGTACCCCTTCTCTATATAACTCTTGTTCATTCCTGCGAGAGAAAATCCAAATTCCGTGTGTGGATATCCCTTTTTTAAAACAGGGGAGAGCGTGTCGATGTTGAATGAAAGCACTCCATGGGGTAAAAAACTAAAACCAATGCCACAGACAACGAAAACCACGCTTGTTAAGAACATGTCATTTGGACAGTGCGCTATTGTCATACCAAAAAGCGGCAGGTTTGCCCAGCAAGTTTGATTTGTTAAAACAGCGTACGGTAAATAAATATTAATAGATGCGTATGCATTTTTATTCATCAGTTTCCATTTTTTGCTAACCCACTTATTAACTGCACGTGAAATGATTGTATGTGCATATTCTCTACGTTATTTTCTTATAAACGCAATGTAAGCACTTCTCACAATCTTCATCTTTTCGCTTGTTCCATACTTTGCCCTGAGCTTGAGGGTCTTTAGAGGTTTTTGCTGTTATTTTGGAACAGAGCTATTTTCTGAGAAAGGGGAACTTCCCTTATTGCCAAGGGATTCGAAATAAATAAGACTTTCCCGTAAGTTACTTTTCAGTCGGTGTCCAGATGACTTGCCACTAATCTAGGACGACATATTTGCGTGATTATGGTTTTCATGACCAAGCTTTATCGTGATACTCATAATCTTGATGGTTGTTAGATTCTTTAAGTTGTTCGGTTCTTCAATCTGTCGCCATGTATCAGTACGACTGCGACTTCTCACGTTAAACATTGTTCGAAAATAGTCACTGTTATTTCCACACCATACCAATCTATTTCGGCAGCTGAGTAAGTGAACATATTAATATAATCGCAGATGTGTTGAATCCAAATTGAAACAAATAGCGTGGCAATCTGTGGTCTAGTGCTGCGTTCCCCAGAGGAAAGGGTGTCAGCTACAACGTATCTGACGTTAGCAATGAAGAACAACAAACCTTTCGATGATGAATTCGGGGGTCTTATTGTTTTAAGTCGTTTAGAGCAACACGAAACCCAGCTCAAAGTACAGTTTTTTGAATTTTTACATTCTGTTCAATGAGTGGGTTCTATTATCATGTAGTTGGCTGACGAGTTCTAAATATTGCCGAACACGAGAAGCTTGACATTTGGGCTCAAGAAACGAACCATTGTCGTTTTTGAAACATGTTTACAACAAGAAATATCGACCTTTGGATGAGGCTTTCTACAAGGACAGGTGAAGCTTGTTTCCGCAATTTGGACGGCTGAACTATCTGTTGCTAATTAGGTTATCTCAGAGTCGACATTAAAGTGTAAGTCTTTCAGATTTACGCAAATAGACACCTTTTGTCAACGGTCAACCCCAAACATTTAGACGGAATGCAAGATATTTTCGAATTAGAGTGAAGATTTATTTTAGCAAGTTTTAAGAAATGATCAGATAGGCACATTTAGCCTCCCCTGGTACGACAAGTGCGTTAGATCATCGACCATTTTCTTTGATCTGAGTTGAATTTTTTCGAGTATGTTAACATCCTCCTTCCTCCATGGTGAACCTGCTGGCATTTCATATTGTAGGTGGGGTATCACATATACGACGAAATGTCTTCAAATGTGTTCGGGAGGAAATATTTTAAATGTGCGTTTACTCCAGTGTAAAGTGCTAGTTGCCTTTTTTATGTATGTATGTATTTAAAGAGCTACAGACAGAGCACTTGATGACCCTACTTATATACAATGCTTTCGCAGATTCGCACTCAAAATAAAGTTGCAGACATTTACAGTATGATCGGACCACATATTACTCTGCATATTACTCCGCTACACAAAGGAGGTAAAAGGTTAGCGACGAAAAATTACCGGCCCATAAGCTTGACATGCATTCTCTGCAAAGTTATGGAAAGGATCATAAAGACTGAACTGATGCACTTCCTGGGAGTTCACGGCCTGCTATCGAAATGCCACCATGGGTTCCGAAAAGGAAGATCCTGTACGACAAACCTGCTGCGATCTCTCCAGAGCTGGACCCGAGCTCTCGACAACAGGCACGCGGTCCATATAGCCTTCATCGACTTCCAGAAGGCATTCGACACTGTGCCACACCAAAGGCTCTTACATAAGCTGAAAAAAATAGGGATCGGTGGCAACTTCCTTAAATAGATCGAAAACTTCCTTGTGTGTCGACACCAGGTTGTGTACGTCGGTCGGGGAAAATCAGATCCGGCTATGGTCGATAGTGGTGTCCCCCAGGGTTCAGTACTGGGACCCATTTTGTTCCTTATCTACGTGGACGATGCCGCAAGAGATTTAGACTGTGAAGTTGCAATGTTTGCGGATGACATGAAGATATGGAGTGTAATTCGGGGTCCTGCTGATGAAGACAGACTGCAGGTGCACCTGAATCGGTTGGAGGAGTGGTCAAACCGTTGGCTCCTGCGGTTCAACGTTGCCAAATGTAGCATACTTCGTCTAGGCAACACAGCCAGATCCGCCAGCACAAGAGACTACTTTCTGGGCGGTGCAGCCCTACAAGAGGTCGAAGCCCAAAAGGACCTCGGTGTGCTTACGACGAGTTCCCTAAAACCATCCGCCCACTGTTCGAGGGTGGCAAAAACCGCAATGTCCGTACTGTACGCCATCAAGCGTGCGTTCATGGACTTTGACGAAGAAGCTTTCTCTAAGACATTCGGAACATTCGTCCGGCCGCATTTAGAGTACGGCATATAGGCTTGGAGGCCGTGGGCTGTTGTGGATCAAAACTGCCTCGAAAGAGTCCAGAGGAGAGCCACGAAGATGGTCAGGGGTCAAAGCTCCTTTCTTTATGCAACCCGCCTAGTAAATCTGAACCTCTTTCCTTTGAGTTACAGGCCACTTCGCGGAGATCTCTTGCAAGCCTTCCGCATTGTAAAGGGGTTGGATTGCAGTCTGGCCTTCGAGGACTTTTTTGAATTTGCTACCACGAACAACCTCCGAGGTCACCCGTTAAAACTGCGCACTCAGCAGGCACGGCTGGATGTGCGGAAGTTCTCCTTCTCGGTTCGGGTGGTCAAACCATGGAATGGGCTTCCTGCAGATGTTGTGATGTCACCATCTATACAAAGTTTTAAGAAGAATCTGTACATATTTATGTTCCGAAATGACCAAGAGCGTTGAGAAGTGGAGCTCACCCCCTGTAACTCCATTTCATTTTGTCCCACAATTATGGGCGTGTTCGAACTATTTCAGCCCAGAACATCTACCTGTACACCACACTTTTTTACGTTGCAAATAGAGTACTCAAAGGCGTACGCCTATCTCCCTCAATAAACTGAACTAAACTAAACAATCGCAATGATAAGGCAACGCATCTGTTTACTGTAAGTCAGTGTGGAAATATTGTGTATGGCAAAGTGTTTTACAGAGCTGGCTGTGAGTAATCATGTTGTAAAAGTCGGTTTCTGCCTTCAAAACTATCTTTCTACAGTTTTTGATGACATTAGACTTTTATTCGTTCATACATTCAGAGCTCAGTGTCCTTCTACAGCTTCTAATGCCATCCCGTTAGTAGAGTACTGATTTATGAGAGGGGCATGTTGCCGGGGTTTAAGTGCCGGACCATGCATTTGAGCACAATAAACTTTTAAATCCATCTGTTTGACCAGACCCTCCGTTTGTCGATGTTCGACTGCAACTGCTTTGCGTCATCGTCGGACCTGACTTCATTCCATAGTTTTATGTCACCCGCGAACATAAGAGCTCCACAACCTAGTTCGCTGAAGCATTCATTTACATAAACCAGGAAGAGTAGTGGGCTTAAAACAGCATCCTGTGGACACCATTTTCAACTTACTACTTAATTTGCTATGTTTAAACACACAATTCATAGTCCACGAGGTACCGGCAGCTACACGAGTGCACACATTCACTGTTAATCTGGACCCATGAAAAGGATATCTGACGTACACGTTGTTGGTCCCAGGCATATTGCTGAAAGTCTCTAGCACGATAACTGCCTGTGTCCGCGGTATTCAGTAATCAACCATTTTCCACCAAGTCGTTTTGATTGCAAAAAGCAACCTAACTGTTTACGCAACCATATTGGCTTCTGCGACCTTGTTCTAGCACATGATCAAAACCATTCCTTTTACTCCTTCGTACAAGGGTCCACAGGCGCCCGAAAGACAAATAAATTGCCTAAACACAGGTATATTTTCTCATGAAATTAATTTTAATGCTAAACTTAAGGTTTCGCACATCTTTCTTCGCAACACTCAACTCTAGGTTGGTTGCCTCTCTAAGATAGGGTCTAATGACTTTGCGTCTAATGGTTTGAAATATATCAAAAGTACGAAACAGAGCAGAAATATGAATTCCCGGAAAATACGTTTCCAAACATTTAAATCTCTAGCTTATTTATAAATAACAACTACCATTGGTAGCAGAACCGATTATTGCTTTAGATTTCCATACGACGTATTCAGTTCACAGCTTACATACCCGTCTCCAAATTTTTTTCTAAATACCATCGGCAAAAGCCCTGCTGTTCGAACTACACTATATCTATATTATTGAATGCCAGGTCTGTTAATAACAAGATGGCTAAATCAGGGCCACTGCTCTCAAAATGACGCCTGATATTATATTTATAATAGAATCTTGGACCCATTTTCGAATTCATGAATCTGACCTTCCTATAGATTACTTCGATTTTTATCCTCTAGACCGCACTACTAGGCGTAGGGGCGGTTGTCTTCTTTATCTTACATCCTACTTTAAGCACTCTCCCTATTACCTGGATATCTCCTCATTCACAGGAAACTTCTGCTTTGCATCTGTCATTCTCTCGCCGCAAAGAAAGGCAATTATTGACTGTATCTACAAACCCCAAACTGTTCAGCCACTGATGTTTCACAGCTTTGTGAAATCTTTTAGTCAATTTTGAAAGCTGCTTTTGATGTTAAAATAATCACTGTGGATTTTAAACTTCCCGAAATAGACTCACTTTCCAATACCTGTCCACCTAGATTCCAGCCCTTCCAAGATATTGTCAATTTTTCTAACTGGTCCCAACTGGTGCGCTCTCCAACAAGAGATATTCACACTTACATCTGATTTTTACCAATGATATGGCCCCTCTTTTTGTTGCTCCCAAAAAGGACCCTTATGATAATGACCAAGTATTAATTCATTTTTGCTTACCGCATCCATTTTCAAAAAAGACCAACACCTCTCGGACGTACCTAAACTACGATTGCGTAGATAACGACTTAATAAATAACTATATTGCTAAGGCCCGTTTGTGCGCAACCGTTTAAAATCCTCCGATCTGAGCTAAATTGAAACTTGTTTAAAATTGAAATATTTGACATATGACGTGTTTAGCCATAATAAAACCTCATGCCCAGGAAAACATACTAGTGTGATGCCTCTTCTCCCTTCCAGAATGTAGTAATGGTGACACAAGCGTCAATCACTTAATAAACGATATACGTAATATAAAAACTGAATATAAGATAATCGCAGACGACCTAAACCGCCCAGAAATAAAGTGGTTCGAATTACCGGCACCTACCAGGCACGAAGAATTGTCATCTTCAATTATCTTTATAATCTAGACACAAATAGTTGACAAACCCGCCCGAGTAAACAATATACTAGACGTTATTTTCACAAAGGACATCTGACCCTTCTATATGCACTACGACTGCGTAACCTTTGAAAGTGACCACAAAGCCATAACATCAACACTCCCCTTAAAAGCAAAATTAGCACCCCATTTTAGTAACATCCGCCTAAATCCAAAAAAACTTGACAAAACCTCCATGAACAACTATATTAGGTAATCGGATTGGACCCCTTTTCTTCTAACAACATCCCCTATGGAAGCAGTTAACCTACTGTACTCTGTTCTATATATAATTCGAGATACTTTCATAGACGAAAGACTCCCGTATAAGAAATCACTAATTCCACACTTCCTTCGAACTAAGCTAAAAAAACTAAAAAAACAGCTACACAACCCATCTGTAAGTTATTTATCCACACTTCGACGAAGTAGAGAAAGTTAAGACCTAGTTACGAAAATGGAAACACAAAACACCATAGCCGCAGAACATCGGGCATTAGAATTCCCTAAACGAACAGCGCAGATGTTCAAGAAACAAATGACTAATCATTGGCCGTCAGGACCACGAACTATTATTAATGAATTAGGAGAAGTTATAACCAATGACAACCAAATAGCAAACGCATTCAACAAATAATTCTCAATTAACTACACAGTCGAGGAGGGAGCGACTCCCCAACTGACCGAAATGACAGAACGCATCCTTACTAAGATCCTTTTTAGTGCAGAAACTGTTAAGGTAGCCGTTGAACAACTATTCAACGCTAACTCTAATGGGACGGACAAAATCCCCCATGTATTCTGAGGCATATGACATATGCTCCAATACTCCTATCTACGTTATTTACCCTACTCCAGTCAAATGCATTTTTTCCGGACATGTGGAAACACTCGACCACCGCACCTATCTTTAAAAGCGGCAACCGATCTAATACCCAAAACTATCGTGGTGTTCACCGAACACCGGCTATGGCTAAAATCCTCGAAAAAATAGTCTACAACCAAGTACTAGATCATCTCATAGACGCCAAGCTCATTCCCTCCTCTCAGCATGCATTTTTACCTAAAAAGTCGTGTCAGTCCTGCCACCTAACTTTTTTGGAATTCGTTTCCAGCAATAGAGATGATGGAAGCACAGTAGCTTCAAGATACTTCGATCTAACCAAGGCCTTTGACAAAGTCCCCCATAAAAGACTACTGATAAAGTTAAAAAGTCATGGAATTAGGCCTCCCTTTTTAGATTTTCTTAAATGCTATCTTCAAAACCGACATCGATTGGTGCAAATTCGAAACGTAGTCTCAGAACCACTCCCTATTACCAGTGGAGTACTTCAAGGCACTATCCTAGGCCCGCTTCTATTTCTCATATATATTCACGACTTATCGTCCACATCAGTAACAGCTAGGACGTCTTTATATGCGGACGACCTTAAACTTGCATATGCATAAAACGGGAACACAGTTGCCAATATTCACAGAACAATTGAAAATGACGTCAGAAACCTCAGCGAATGGCATCATCAATGGCAGAAGCCCTTTTCACCCGAAAAATGTCAACTCCTGATCTTTGGCCCACAAAACTTCCGCCCATAATTTTCGAGGATAATGAAGTAACGGAGACCCTATCGGTCTTAGTCCAGACAATTATGACAAGCCTCCTGAAAAACACGAACAAAATGTGCGACCGCGCTTTTACAGCTTTTTACGGCGAGCCACTCACTTGTCCGGTCTTCTCTACTGCAATTATCTTTGAGGCTGCTGCTTCTTCAAGGGTTGGCTTGAGTTCAGTACCGTATGTCAACTCTGAATTGCATGGATCTTCAGCGTCACTCATTCTTCAATCAGAAGCTCAAGCTAGTGCGTAACTCAGTAGAAGGAGAACGGTCTGTACACAGGAGATTTATATAGTGAAATAGGGTTAAAGGGGACAGAGGGCGTATAGTCTCAATGAAGATGGGGGATAACAGCGGTCAAAAGGAATTATTAAGTACTACAATGCTGTGGTTCTGGAGTATGTACTACATTCATTGGAGTCGTCTCCTCAACTCCGTTTGGACACTCTTTCTTGTCTGTAAAGTGAAGAAGAAAAAGACTCGTCCGAAGCACAGCACCACAAATCGCCGTTTCGTCTTTTTTGACTTCCCGCCAACTTCGCCCCAGTCTGACACCACAGACTGACAACCACCAACTGGAACACGCCAAAATTTACCCAACTGGAAAATACTTTCAAGGTCAGGCCGGTATCAAAGTTCTTTAATTTCGATGAAGGACATATTATTCATGCCCCCCCTCCCAGAAACTGCCAAACTACACACTTCAATTTTTATATTATACATATCGTTCTTTCTTAAAACTTTTGTTATTATTTTTCCGTGGAAGTCAGGTTTTTTTTAACTTAAAACAAGCTCTCAATTCGTGCTTTATTGGCTAAACGGACACCCAAAACAATTGAAGTCAAAGTGCAGTTGAAATGGTGCGTTTGTTTCCTGTGTTCAAGGGAGACTGACAGTGCCCAAAGAGCGTTATAATAAACCTATTATGTTCTATTCTATTCTATCATTGGATTGGTTTGGCGTTCTCTCATGTGACCATTCTTCGTGATGTCATGTCCAATGTTTCCAAGGACATCCTAGTTTGTGCCGCATAGGTATCTCAAATCCAATTCTTTAGATTTCCTTGCCTTTACTTTTTTTGCAAAAGACCGAAAACTTTGAGACAGCACTTGGGTGACCTATCCACTAGCTTTTAATCCGTTCATCTTAGAGTCACAGAGATTTTTGAAGTGGCCTCACGGATGCGCCAAGCGCGCGACAGACAAAGAGAACCACTTGCTACCAGTGATCCGGACGCTGGCAAATCCATCACTGAAATCTTCTGTTATGGATCCTCCTCGAAACGTGGTCACTAAATACCACCCCTGATAAAAGATAACATAATATCCCTCATTGAGGACATTGACAAGGCGGATTTTTTAAGTGTTTTCTTCGCAAAACACCTTATTACTGAGTCCGACCCAGGCCCTTTCTTTCGCTCACTTTCAGATGGGACACTGAGTACAATCGATGTCTCCTCACATCTTATTAGAAAGTTGTTATGAGCAGCCATCATGGCAACATCGCGCCTCTCGCTGGCGCCTGCGCCTACGCCCTAGCGAGAGCCTGCTTGAGCCCGCACGTCTGCCCAGCTTCGATTTGTCTCGCTGAAACTATTTCTGCATCACACATCTGGTCGATTCTCTACCTACACCATGCGAGGATTGTCCCTGACTTCGCGTGGGTTCAGAACCAATGAACGTAACCCCTCTCACTGACTGGTTACACATCGGACAGAGTAAACCACTGGTGCAAACAATCTGCCACGAAATGTTTGCGGTGGTGACTTTCTGCGACACACGGCTGGTCGCTCTGGCGGACGCCTCATTTCGCGGCGCCGGACGCACCTTCTTCTATTTTTCCGTTCGGAATAAATAAATAAAGTGTTTCGGTGCTCGACTCTTCTTCTTTAATTATGCACACACCTAGAGTTAGAAATTTCGCCTTCTTTCATAAAATTTTCTCCCCAACTGACGTCCCACTTCTTACTACCTGGCATATGGCCTGAAGTTGTGGCGCACTAAATATACACTATTAGCGCTTAGCTGCTACAAAACGCATAAGTCCTTTGAAAACTCACACTGTTCGGGAACGAACGAGATTTCAAATCGGCTTCTTAAACAGGCATCCGACCTTCGCGTATTGTTTAGTCATTTATTCCTTAGTTATATTTGAAAAGGATTCTTTCCTGAAACATGGAAAAAGTCATTTATCCTTCTTGTCTTCAAGTCTGGATCTCTGTCCGATGTTAATAACTTTCGGGGTGTGCAGAAAACACTGTCTTTAGCAAAACGTCTTTGAAGGATTATCTTCAGTGAATTTCTCGATCGATCCTGCGAAACATGACGCTTGACATTTCTTATCCTAATCACTTCCCCTCGTAATGAGCAGCAGTCAGTGGTAGTTATCTACTTTGGTTTTAGCGAAGCCTTCGAAAGTGTGCCCCATAGACGCTTTTTGGTAAAATTAGAAGCTCTCGGCATCCGGTCACCTCTTCTCGACATAATCCGGTCCTATCTACCCAATAGATATCAGAAAGTCATGGTTGGTAATAGCTACACGACACCTCACTCGATCACGAGTGGCGTACTTCAAGGAACGGTTCTGGGTCCGCTACTCTTCCTTCTTTACATCAATGATATTTCGACTGAACTCAGAAATTCGCAAACGTTTACTTATGCCGATGACCTCAAGTGTGTTTACATATATTCTAAACATACCTCAAATGTTTGTGTTAAAAAAATTAATGCCGGCATACTATGCTTGAGCAGATGGAGTTCAACATGGCAGATGCAGTTTTCAACATCCAAGTGTAGTTTCATGTCTTCTGGTCCTGCCACCTCCCTAGCCTCAAAATTTTTCTGAATAATTCGCCCTCAGAATGGTTAACCATAGAGGACCTAAGTTTGAGTTATGCAAATTAACTTGCGTTATCACCTCACGCAGATAGAATCTTTGCCAAAGTCGCACAAATATGTGAGTTCATATCACACGTCGGAAATGAAGCGAAGACTTCACCAAATGTTTGTCCTTCCTGTCCTCGAATACTGCTGTCCTTTCTTTGGTTTAATGAACGCCGGTGACCGCAGTACAATCAAAGGTTTTCAGAGGGTCATCGCCCGGATATTGCTCTCTCCAGTCGCAATACGTACTTCTTATACTCAGAGATGTCAGCCGGCGAACACTAAGTTTTTGTGGGTTAGAAGACTCGACGCTGGACTGTGCTTCTTTTATTGCATTAACTTTAGCTCTAATCTTCCGCTCATTGACACTCTCACTCCGAAAGATCAGTCTTATGCCACCCGCAACTCCTGCATGGCGATTACTTTGCCTCTTTGAACTACATCTAAGCGCTCCCTCTTTTAGGCTTCCAATTATGCCTTCCTTTCGAATATTCTTCCACCAGCAACTAGGTCATTGCGTAAGATACTTGTATTCAAGTCGAAAGTTCTCAAATATATTACACCGGAGATTTCAAAGGCACTGTTAACGGCCTCAATTCCGAACGTTCAGCTTGTGGACTTCGAGAAGGGTCCTCCTGGGATTTATTAGCAGATCAAGTGGAACTTTACAGCCCTCTGTTTTTAATTGGCTGATAAATCCCCTGTTACCGCTCCGTCCCTACAGTGACGAATTTCGCGGCTCTTGATGTCATCTCCTCATCTCGATCTGAAGCGGTCTGTCAACGCTCATGGCGGAACCCTCTATTCTCTTTGTCCACTAGTAATTTGGTCGTACCTGTCTTGCCCACGCCTAGACTGAACTGGAAGTGGACTGGATTCGATTGCGTCTGGGTTCAATTCAATTCAATTCAATTATTTTTATTAAAGACCCGTCGGGGTCCCATCAAAGCAAGTAAAATAAATTTACATGCAATTTTAGACGAGGTAGGCAAAATCTGTACAAAGTACAATACATAGTTTTTGAGATTAGAAGTCCGTTAAGCAAAATGAAAATGAAAAAAGCGAGGGGTGAAAAAAAACTCCAAAGCAAAATTTAAAAATGATTGTAGTAATTTAACAGGAGGAAAAAAAACCCCTCAGAAAAATAGCATCAGAAAAATATATTTGCTGATGTAATTGATGACTTTATTTCTGTTTATCGACATGAATAGGGTGCTCAAGGGCGAAAGCCTCATTCCCTTAATAAACTGACTTGCCTGCATGTGGCGGTACAGAATGGAATATAGTCCGACATCTACGTGGCCGAAATAAATGTCAGCTGTATATGTATATGTATATCTCATATCTCGCCACTTTGACGCGAAAAATCTCATCCAATGTGTGAATTCTGCTCATACGATGTCCGTATTGAATCTCTTATGCAGAAAAACACGCAGACTGGTCCTGTCTGACCCGCATAATTACCCCTCCTGGCTGACATTTATTTCTGCACTGATAATGTCCGCTTATAATCCGTTATACGCTGCCACATACAGGCCGGTGCAGTGCGCATTTTGATCCTTTTATGAGCGACAGTTTTCTTCTCATTTCAAGTTAATCCAATCACTATTATTATTCTAAAATGGAGTTTTTCACCACCCGCTCATCATTTTTATTAACGGACTACTTATTCAATAACTATTTATTGCATTTTGTATAGATTTTGTCTACTTTATCTGAAATTCGTATGGAACTATACTTTTTGCTTGCTTTGATGGGGCCACGACGGGTGTTTAATAAAATTATTTTATTTATTTATTGAAAAACAGGCATCCCAAGAAATATAATTAGAAAGATGAAGTTCTTTGGGAAACAGCAAAATTTTATTGTGAATTTTCGAGACTGGTTCCCCAGTTCGTCTTCAGACAATGGGCGTGCAAAAACAATTAACTTTTAGCCTGAGTCTAGCAAAAGGAGTCAATGATTGGTTAATATTGTCATCTCGGGATTGGCTGACTCAGTTTGAATCTGTCTTTAACGATTTTGTATGCGGCATCTAAATCGATATGCCGGTTGATGCATGCCTCATCTGAGTGCATTGCTTCCAGGAATTCGCGGCCTTTTCTTGATTGGCAGGCGCCAACAATGCGAGTGTTCTCCCATGCGAATTTATGCCCAGTGTCTAGTGTGTGCATGGCCACCTGGGATAAATGGTCGCGTCTCTTCACCGCTAACTGATGCTCATGTAAACGGGTTGAGACGGATTTCCCAGTTTGGCCACAATAAACGGCATCACAACTAGAACACGTCATTCAGCGACCAAATATATCGTTTACTAGTGTGTTCGAAAACTGTACTAAACAAATCTGCATGCCACAATATCAAAAGAGTCTTATGACGCACGCGAATCTTGAGAAAGTCCCTTTGCTCACTCCCTGTCAAATTACTATTCTTTATAAATTAATCTAGAAGGGATATCTAAGTAATTAACTGGACAGAAAAAGATTTAATGACTTTTCGAAAGGATGGTGAGCAACTGAAGGTTATAACGCGAAAGAGTCTAAAAATTCGACATCATAACAGGAAATATGGACTACTCTGCCCTGCAAATCCCTCACATCCCACCTTTTGTTTAAATTGGCAATAGTGGATCTATTAGTTTACCCTCACGCCCTTCGTTTAGAGGCGCGCCTTACAATACTGCAGAAATGTCGAAGCACATGAGCCTTGATTTCTTTGCGAATGCAGAATACAATAAACTAAATAATTTCTATAAAGATAACTCCGCACTTTTGGCAAGGTAACTGCTGGCGAGAATGCACTTTTGAGACTTTGTGTAAGCATTTCGGCATCCTGATGCTTAAATGGTTGCATATGCGTAGGCAAATTAAGTTTCTGAATTTAGATGGCATTATTTTTTTAAATAACTCAAAAAACGTCGGCGATCTTTTAATAAACGCCCAATAATGCGTGTAACATCATGATTGCCAGTTTTCATCCTTTGTTATTGACATACGGTTACTTAAGTAACCGCGATTGCGTCGCATTAGGCGGGGTTAATCTAGCCAGTACGTGTGTTCGGTCGATTTGCTACATTTGCGCGTTACAAGATGATTCATGGTTTTCGAGGATTACGCTTTAGGCCACAGGCCTGATATCATAAAGGGTACCCTGCCAGCACCAGCCCCGCCTAGCCCCGCCTGGCCCCCTCAATATTGGCGGGGCTAGAGGGGGCTATGAGGGGGCTAGGCGGGGCTGTGGAGGGGGCTGTGGCGGGGCATGCAACGCGATAGCCCCGCCTAGCCCCGCCAGCGAAAAAAAATGCGCAGGGGACGCCACATATGTGGCGTCCCCTGCTGGGATATCCCAGCCCACTTTTGGCACCACTTTAAAATATCGTCCCGATTGTCAAATATACGAATTAATAACACACAGAGATTGTAAACCGGTGGACAAATAAGAGTTTGCGCAATGCGGGACTTAAACGAAACCTCAATATATTGTGTTCATCCGCAGCTACATTCAGTGGGCGTAAACGGATGCTTTCTCCATGATTTATAAGCCAATTTTGATAAATTAGCTCCTTTTAATTCCAAAGAAGGTACAATAAGTGGTGCTTTTGAAACATATCTTTCGATGCAAATAAGCTTAAAAATGCTTCAATGCAGAGGGGGCTCTGGCCCCACCCAGCCCCTTCCAGCCCCGCCTATGAAGGAGCCATGTGCTGGCAGGCGGGGCCCTGGCCCCACCCAGCCCCTTCCAGCCCCTTCCAGCCCCGCCTATGAAGGGGCCATGTGCTGGCAGGGTATCCAAGGGCAGCGAAAAACGACGTCCTTCTGCGCACTTTTCGATGAAGAGGTCACAGGAGCCTACATCTGCCTGTACCAATGGTACGGCATGCCATAGCTCTGCCCAGTAACCTTTCAATCCCCACGCAGATAGTATGCGCTAGTGTTGGGATGGTGTTGGTAGAGAAATGTCACGTAAGCCAGTTGGGCAACTGTTACGTACTTGATTGTGCTAATTACAGTCAGAATACTTCAGTTCATTTCATATAGTCCACATAGGAACTACCTAGCAACACTAATGTCGCGCCTTTTATAGGACCAAGCGCCTAAGCATTGTGCTTGCAAGAAGGACACACTGTTTCTAAAATTTGCACAAACGTGTGTACAATCATAAATATATCAATCGTTGCTGCACAATATTCTGCGGAGGAAATCGATTATATTTTCATGGTAAGTAGTCGTAGAAACTTTGTCAATAAGTGTACGTTTTGGTTCTGCGAAAAGGCATGGTGCAATTTTAGTTTTGACTTGCAGGCCCGTTTTGTAGGGAAGCGGGTTTGTGACGTTTGGACATCTAGATATAATTTCAAAAAAGTTGTTATTTCAGTAATTGTTTATGTCGTGTCCAAATCTGAGCATAACTTTATTGAAGACTTCGAAGCTTGGGTCGATAATTCCTTAACGCGACAGCAACATTCAAAGATTTGTAACGGTTTTGAAGATGTAATATGTCAATGAGTTCTCTAAACATATTATATCAGGGGAGGCAATATGCAAATGATGCAGAGAAAGGTCAGAGCCAAAACCAGCAATGCAGATGACTGAGCAAAAAACAAAGGACATTGCAGGCTATAACAAAATTGCAAGTACAAATCAAGAAATAATAGAAGGCTAGCAAGCAATTTTAAAAGGACATAAAATGTGCATGGAAAAAAGCTGCTGTACAGGAAAGACTAACCAGATTAGAAAGAAAACTTTAAAACGGAATTAAAACAATGGGCTGAAACCAAAAACGTGTTGTTCTGTCTATTTGTATAATAAGAGGTTGACTGAGACATTGATCATCGCCAAGACATGTGCAACTTCAAAAATTGACTTGCGTTACTGTCAGCAAACGATCCCATTCTCAAAAGAAACTATTTTTAATCAACGCGCATCTATTAAGCTCTACCGTCTTCTACATTGCCCGCAAGGTGAAGATGAGATTAATGATGTTTGGACCATGTCTTGGTTCGCAGGAGCTCCGATCGGCCTGGCGATGGGAAACCTTCGCCCTTCGGGAGGCCTCTACGTATTCGTGTCTTGGTTCATCAACACGCTACGCGCATGCCAGCTGTGAAGCTTTTGACTACGCATAGGGCTTGCAAGACTACTGACTCTTCTACTGAAGAGCAATGATACAGTTTTTTAAAAACGCCTGCTTTCTTAGCCCTTCTGATGAATGTTGATAGAGTTTACCAAAAAGAATATTCGTAATAAAACAAAAAATTTAATAAATCCAAGTTTTTGAACTCTGACAAAATCCAAGAAAACTGAACCAAATTTATCCCGATCTAGACGTACATACATCCCTTACACCATACTCGCGCTAAGAGTCGTAGTATACTTAGCGTTTTATGATGCGGTCAAGAACTCCTGTATGTAGAGCAGAAACGTCGCGGTTATTAAGATTTTAAAAACAAGTTAATATCAGAAAGAAGTCTTTGTATTTTCTGCTGGCATTTTGGAGATACTTTTTATTTTTACATGACAGATTGGACCCAAAAATACTTTTGTCTATTACGACAGTGTGTAGATTCCAGAAAATTTGGTACAGAAGAGTGGTATTATGCAAATTTACCATATAGCATTAATCGATCCTCGAAATTTGTTAACTCAATTCGAGCTTGACCTTACAGTTCTAAAACGCCCTTAAACGGGGAGTGGTTGCTTGAAACACCTAACACGTATTTTATATACACGAATGTGAAGGCACGATAGTATTAATATTAGGCTTTTAAGGAACAAATCCATAATCTAAGAAAATATGTTATTTACTGGACGGAAGTGGATGGTAATTAATAGTGTGATTGCTGCCAGCAGTGGAGTAGGTTATTTGATAACATTTCAGCCGCACTTGTTTGTTTTTAATGTGAAAACTTTTTCAAAAGTAATATTTTACAGGACTTGAACACGCATACTCCTCTGAAAAAGCGCCTTGTCGGCCTATAAGCAACCTGTGCAACGCTCTTACGTACTTCTCCATGGAAGTTGACAGTTTGCTACCAGGAATTTAAAGCCATTTTACAAGGTGCCCATATGGCAAGTACTTAATAATTTTAGACACTCACTGTCCTAAGATTGACATTTTAAATACCTTTGGGGGGAAAGCTGTGAATATAGTGAAAGTCGAACTAAGGCAAGGGTGATTTGAATCCCGTACCGCTGGCTTGTTCATTTCCGGAATGCTTGTTTGATTACATAATTTGGATGAGAAAAATTAAAAGATTTTCCATTCTTTTCAATTTCCGAGGTAAAATATAACTAGGCGGGCATTTTCCGATGTTGCTATTTAGCCTACGACGGCCTTCGTGCTTACTTCATAACCCTTATGCAGAAAATCATCAATTCGCTACTCATCTCATGCATACTCTCTTGGTCGAGCTTGGTCTGCCAAAGTAACTGATTTTCATAAGACATCCAGCAGTGTCATATCAGAGAAAACTTTCCATTCATTCTCATCATTAAACTGTCAAGCGTCACATATCCATGGTGAACGTCGAACCTGCAACATCTGACCATGTGACGCAAAGTCCGTAAACCTATCGTTTAGAAATGGTGTGCAACTCTTGCGAATAAAGAACACCAAGTAACCGTAGGTTGTCGTTGGATAGCACTCGTGGGGTTTTAATATCTGGAATGGATTCTGAGGCAGACGAAGGTCCCTTAACGCACACGTCCCAGAAGCCTAAATTTGAACGCGTATTCAACAGTATGATTTCGAAGTCCTAGGTAACGTTTGATGCTCACTTAAGTAAGCTGTTAAGACAATACTGACTGACAGATGTTCTTCCCAGATTACATGGAAGCTTATTTAAGGTATAGCACAATTTTGCGCCTAAAAATCTCTTAACGGAAAAAAGAAGTCGACAAAATCTCTTTTTTGAAGAAATGCGGTGATAGAGGCAATTATTTACACGTATTTTTATAATATAACGTTTCTCGAAAAAGTTTAAACATAGTAACAGTTTCGTACATTCCCTGTAAATAACAGATGAAATAACTTTAACCTAAAGATTTGTTTTCTTTCATAGGAAAACTAGTGAGGTAAACATGGCACAATAGTTTGCTTGCTCAGTCTGGCTTTACAAATAGCTATCCAAAATAGAAGTTATTCTAGAAAAGTTCGTGCCGCTACTGTTGTGTCAAATACGTTTCGGGAAGGTCTGTAAACACCTTCTAAATGTGTTCATGTTTAAATATGATTTTATATAGAGAACCTATTAAAGAGAAAGTTGAGAGCCTCTCCATTTCCATGATTTTCTTTTTGTGCTTCCAATGTGCATCGGATCCAAAATTCATTAGTAAAATGGAGAAAATACGAATATTTATACTCGCCTTTGCCGTTATCTTATAAGCTGAATGCCACTAATATGCAAGAGAAACAGTCTGTATTTGGGCCCTTTATAGTGAATAAGGAATGCGGATTCATACTTGGGTGTCTACACCAAGTTCAATAGGCAGAACGGTTTTTTAAACACAGTTCTGCCAGGCTAGAATATATTTTAAGCGGTTCGTTTATTACTGCATGCTGTCGATAAATAATTTATCTTAGAATGTCTGTGGCATCTTCTCCGTAAATATTTGAGTTATCTAGTAAATGCTCTTGAGCGCCAGTAAATTGTTCTATTTGTTGGCAGATTCTCCTCGTTACGTGGTAGCTTAATATTTACCAGTCGGTAGTGTGATTTCAGTTAAAAATTGCATTATTCAAAATTGCCGCAGTAACAATTAAACGTGGTTTCTCATAGTCCTATATCTTAAACCAACATTTTGGATATATAAGTACAAATACACAGTCAATCGTTCTTGCACCGCTTTATGCATTTGCATCACGTCATAGATGCACATATAGCAAGGTAGTTTAAAGGTTACATATAAGGCTGATAGTTTTTAATATGCAGGAATATAATAGGTCTCAGTTATTAAGCCTTTAAATGTGGTTTTATTCCGTCTTATGTCAACATTAGACAACTAAAAATAAAATTTTTCTCATAAATAATTTTTTCCTGATTTTATAAAAATGCCTGAAGGATCAATTACAGAGAAGCGTTGCTGCATTCTTTGCTGCCCCGACAAAATCAGCGTTGGAAACTAACTCAGACGGATCTTTGCCGGAATTTAATAACAGAAAATTCTGAAATCTGTTCATCATCTGTTGAGCCTCTGCAAGTTAATGACATGGTTAAGTTTATACTTTCAAATTTTCTATGTATATAAATTAAACCTGATGTCCATTCATTTAGGCGGTTTTGGATATGTTATAGATGGTGGCTTATACGCAAAATACATTCTGGACACCCGTTGGCTTCGTAAAACTGGCGTGACCACTGATTAGAAAAAACGTCTGTTCTTCAGTTGTAAAGATAAAAACTATCAGAGGATAATATCGGAAAATGATATAAAAATAACTTTTAAAAAGACGCCTAGTATCCTTTCATTTAATAATAAAAACAATTCTCCCATTGTAATTCCAAAAAATTCAATAAGTCTGTTTTTGGATAAAATATCGCAATTGTACATTTTGTCCTCAAAATGCAACTTTAATATTTTCATAATAGCAAAACATTTAAGAAACAACCTGTTTTTTGAGCAGGCATTAAATTGCGTTGGTCACTTGCCCTATTTTACATCCTTGTTTTTTGGTATAATAACTTGTAAAATTCTGACACTGTGCTTTAACCGCTTCAAGGACAGCAACGGAGATTTCTGCATTGAAATTTATGAAGCTATTCATAAATTGCAAATTTCGGGCGAAGAGATATCGGCAAATGCGTCGAGTATAGCCGAAAGCTTACAAACGGTTTTCCTCTCAACGCAAGAAAGTGGAGAACATCGTAGAAAATCCCTTTGGCAAGGTACGGTCAGCCCAGCTTATTTGACCCATATTCTGTGGATGTCATACCAAACAAAGAATTTTTCAAATGATGAGTTCACCTAAGCAAAGGCACACGCAATAAATTACTTAAGCAGTACAGGTTAAAACAATTATCAAATAATGATAAAGATTAGTAACCGTTGCTTTATTATATGTTACTTTTTATACACCTTTAGCTAGATATTTTATCATATAAATTTTTATCTTGTACTTTGTTACAATGCACCTCTTCGGAGAAGTCTCTTTGGTTGGAACATTTAGTAAGAACAGTTCATTAAAAGAAAGATGTGATTTTGAAAAAAGGAAACTATAGGTCTTACGAATTAATTTGCTTTCCCTAAAACTGTCTTTTAAGGCCCGTATTTTGCTTTCTTAGTGCGAAAATCTGCACAAGTTTGTCAGTTTTCACAAACGGACCATACCAACCCCCGGTGAAGACGTTACGGTTGCGTAACGTCAGAAAATCAAATCGCTGTAGTTAGAAGTTAACTCTAGTGGCGACCGATAATTCGATTTCCCAAAGAAAAGCGTATATTAAATCAGAATGAAGATTTTAGCTGCGACTTTCTATAAAACTACTTACAAATAACCAAGAATAAGCAAAGTGCAATCCTCCACAGGGGATACTCGTACAGACCAAATGATTCGGCCCACATCAAACGCCTGATGCCATTCAACAAAATGTATGTTCAAAAGCGAGGGTCGCACCCATGTACAACAACAGCTTCAAGTGTAAAGGGTGACAAAACATAGAACATAGGGCACGGCATGCAAATAAGTCGGATATAAAAAGACGGAGGCACGACGTCTAAAACAATGGCTTTAATGGTCTTGGCTTTCGAACTTGAGCAGGAGTTGATAATCAGAAACTGGTAAAGTGCAGCAAAGTGTGAACATTTATATCGTTTTACCGTGAGGGAGGATTACGTCCCAAAGGATATAAGTGGGGAATTTTCAAACTTGTTCGAAAGAAGGTAATACTAGTATTCGTTTTCACTTTGTCTTACAAAGGGCAGCAAATTCTGAACCTACTAGGTTTTAGTCCTTCGAGACACTGTGACGATCGCACTATTCGTGGAGTGTCCTGCGATTCTGCAAATTCTGTTCTCGGATTTAAGGACAGACAGGATCAAAGTGCCACCTCAGTGCTCCCCTCTGTGACGTCTATGGAGGTAAGTCACACAATAACTAGTTAGGCAGCATTTTGTGGTGAATTCTAGGTGGAGTACTTAAGAAATCCCGCTTTGAAAGTCAGCTTGGTTGTTAGATTTGATGGATTCCAGACGTTGCAATAGGCTAAGCGGGTAACTTGACCCAAATGTGGTTAAACCCACGTCTTCCGGTGGGGCCTCGTAGCCCAAGCGGCTAAAGTGTTGGCTGTACTGAAGCCTTCACCTTGCTGTCGTGGGTTCGAATCCCACCGGGTGCCGAGTTTTTCACATTCAAGTTGGTGTGAAGAATAATATTATTTCTTCTGGGCGTCTTTTCGCACTAAAACTCGAAGTCGGGGGTCTTGATAAAAAATACCCGATAATGAAGAATCCTGGTGGATATTGTGAAACGTTGACTGCACATAAACTTCAGTAATTAGATCATGCTGAGTCGCACACACTCTGTTGCCCACTTTCCGTCAAAGGTGCTGAAGTCAATGTCGTTGCCGCTCAAATAAGGCCAACTTTCAAAATGTTTAATCTGTACTATCTTTATGATGCTTTCGAAGCGCGATCCGTAGTTTTCGCAATCCTCCATGTTCAGTAGAATGTCCCATATCTTCCCATTTCCAACATTCCCAATATCACGCTGGGTGCGATAATTCAGCCTCGAAAGAAAACGCTCATACTAAAGCAGGGAATGTATTCTAAACCCTGATGCGCCAGGGCTTTTTATGTTGAGATGTGTTTCTGAAACTGCATCTAGACATACCACCATGCGTGCTTATCGATTTCGTGTGCCACAAGAGGAGGTGGGCGCGGGACGTTAAGTTGCGCATACATTAGTTTATATCGGCGACCAACTTGCGCAGCGTCGTCCGCACTATTTCCTCTCTCATTCACCTGAGACAATTGGATAGACAGAGTCAGGAATACCGAAGGTGTGCTCGGCCCCAACCATGTTTTGTGCGCATAAATTGAATGCCTATTAGAGACTAGTAATTGCGCTACATAATATTACACGTGATGCTACCAGTCTGCCGCTGTAGAAAGGTCCGAGTTATCATTTTTCCTACTTTTGTAGAAGCATCCGCAAAAACCTGGCGAAGATGGCAGGGAAATAACGAAAAACAGTTTTTTGGTGTATGGTGACGCTATGAGGTCGCCTCGTGTACCTCATAGGTTACGCACAACGTTGGCGTCTTCCTTTGAAAGCATTTACGATGCTGTCCTAGACCAAAGGTAACAGACGACATTTCACTGTTCCCCGAAAAATGGACAGTGGCCAGTTTATCTAGACCTTATTAATGCATGTCGTGATGTTTTGGCAGTTTGTCAGTTAGGGCCGTATTTTGATAAAAGCAAACTTGTTTACATATTTTAAAAAATTCTAGCAGTATTGGGAGCATCTTTTCTTACAATACGCCCGGTGGTTCATGTTTTAGAGGTGGACATATTGTCTACCCAGAAAAATCATAAGTATGGACGAAATATTTTTCCCTTGGACTGGAATTAGGTATTCGGGCAAAATGTGTATTACACACGTCCGTCTCGCCATGAACGCAGAGGAAGTACTGCGTGTGTGGCTAACTTTAGTAATATATTATTTGCAAACGTGAAGTGAAAACGTTTAAAACTCCGGTTTTAATATTCAGTAAACTCGTTCCTTTCGTGATAACTTTGGCATTGGATACATCCGAAGTCTTTAAGCCGAACTAAAATAAGAGAAGTTTAAATTCATTCCGAAAATTATTGCAGATATACTACCAAAAACGTTTAATTTCGTCGATCCAAAACCGAATATTCGCCGTAAAGTGCTAGTGTAGAACAATGTAAGTTTCTCCGAAACATAGAAAGTTATTATTTTTAAAGAGAAAACTAATTTTAATCGTGCCTACTCCTTCGATACTATATATGAAAATAAGAAAGCATAAAGGCTTCAATAAAATAATTATTACGCTCATATCCCAAGAATTTTTGATGCGATTTGCGTGTTTGAAATGTCATGTCAAACGCCCTTTAATTTGATCAAGCATAATGCAGCACAATAAAGACTGTTAACAAAATTGGCATTGGCAAATGCAAATCATACCTCAAAATCCCTGACATATTCATACCCACGCTTTTGTGAAATACTAAATACACGTATTTGTGGAAGTTTTGGAATGAACATTAAAGAGCCACTGGGAGGTGGAAGTAAAAAAAGAAGATTTTCACTTACAATACCGTAAAAGTGGTCACAGCGCAGACTGGCTTATGAAGTTATCGAATAATGTTTTAGCCATAAGGATTTTAGGGAAATTTTGCACGCAGTTTTATTCCTTTAGCATCCCGATGCATGCTAATCGAAGTGACCTGTTTGTTTTTTTGTACTGTGGACCAGTTCTCTGCCGCCTGCCTCAAAGAAGTCTGACGGATTTCTGATCAAAAAGACGAGTCCTCTATCATGATCTTTTCAAAGGCTTCAAACTACAATTTACTACGGAATTTTCTACGCGTTATTTGCTGAATAATTTTTAATGTTTAATTCTTCATTTGTGGTCAAAGTTGCTGCAAACAAAATAAAAAAAATTTTTATCGTTAAACGGATGCTTCACGCCTAGGCATCTACTTAGCCATTTATAAACCGTAATCCAACAACGAACCAACGAGGTATATGCGCCTCTTTAGGGATGAAATTGTGATCTCTTTTTAACGCTAACAAAGGCGCGTACTGAAAACATGAACTTCGTGTACATAAGCATATCGTAGCTGTGTATTCTGGCGAATAATGTCCTTGCTGTAGTAATTATAAACAATATGTCAGTTCTTGGACTTGGGACGCTGCACATATGGCAATTTGGTGTTAGATGCGGGGAACTGGATACAGGCAGAAAACGTAATTATCTCATTTTTAACTGAGTAATTTGGGAAGCTCAATATAAATACTTAATGCGCCATGTTATTTACACAAACACATATCGCCTTTTCAGACGGATACACAACTGGGATCATTACTTCTGATAAGGTATGTCTTTTGGCCTTTGTCAACCAAAACAAGCACCACCTATTTACGTATTTCAGCTGACCGTTCAGAGTTACTCAGTGTGTAACAATAAATTCACTCATAAAATAAAAGTCTAGAATATCGAAATATCCGGACCTAAAGTTGTTCTTTTGAGCTGATATAGTGTTATTGATCCAGACACCTGTTTCAGCGTTAGGCAAGGTATTATTTTATCCACTTCCGAGAGTGGCAGGCGACTAATTGTGACATCGTCGATGTCGAAACTTCATACAAGACATAACGTCGGTGGGGTCTCGTGGCTCAGGTGGCTAGAGCCTTGGCTATGCTAAAGCCTTCCCATTGTTGTCGCGGGTTTGAATCCCACCGAGGCACTGAGATTTTCAAAGTTGGGTCAAAATGAACAGTAACAGTTAGCAACACGCATTAGCATTATGCAGTATTGCACAACCTAATCAGATATTGTTAGTCTCAACCATAAGGAGACACTGCTGTTCAAAGCGCCATGTACTTAAGCTGCTTTAAGAATAAGAGAAAGACCTGCAAAAAAGGATTCGGGCCTTATGCGGAAGTGATGTGCATTAAGCTGATCTTAATACGAGACGAAAATGAGCATTTCAATGTTGCGTTATAATATATCGCCATGTAATCACCTGCGAGGAACCGACGCCAGCGGAAAGCAAATACATCAGTTTCTGTCCGGAAATCAAGGTAGCCCGGGAAACGAGCCCTTAAGACAGTGATGAGGGCGTCTCTCAATGGTCAGCCGGTTCGGGTCCAAAGCTCGGGCTCGTAGCCTAACTTTGGTGCGCCCTCGACTGATGACAGCAACTAGCCACTACCAACCATTCCTGTTTCTCGGTCTCTGTCGATAGGATTTATAAGTTTCTGAGTGTAAGTGAAAGTATTCATTCACTATTTACATCCAATGCAGGCACGTGCACGCGGACAAACAAGGGAAATAAAAAGACATTCGTTCAATAAGCATCCGACTAATAACTCGCTTTGAGAGTCTTGCTAGAACCACCAATCGGGAACTGCTTCTTCCCTTGAGGCAATGTCGGTATTTTAAACATAAGATGACAAAGCTGCTTGTTTGCGTTTTGGGTCGTCAGACCTTGGTTTTTTAACAACTTGATGATCTTTAGTCTTAAAACTAATAAAACGTTTAGCTGAAATTTCATTAAAAATGTTTTAATTAGAGTTAATAACATTGCCCTCGGGGAGCTGGAGAATCAATACTCTCACCGCAAACGTTGTTGTGGGCATGAATCAGCAACTTTTGTATTACCTTCGGTTTATTAACTGTGCTATGTTATAAACCTTTCGTGTGATGAGATATTTGTGATACGGAAGGCAATTATTTGCCTCTCCACCAAAGATGGGCGCATTTATATTGCTACGTGATCCAGACATTGCGGCGAAGGCAATGCAAAAACGACTAGTCCTACGGGCAACCTTAGTAGGTAACTAGGCATTAGATTTGCCTAGCATATCGTCTTCTTTGCGTGAGCTTTGCATATAAGCGTGTAGTTTCAAAAAATGATGGAGTGCGGACTATGATGTCATCTTTAAAGATTGTCTTAAGATAGCAGTTTCTGCCATCCATTGCCAAAGCACAAGAAAAAAAACTATACCAGTAATATCGTGGAATACTGTTGACATCATATGAAGTTCCCAAACTTTTCCTGGCAAAAAAACAAGAGACTTAAGGAACTATAACAACATTTTTCTAAAAAATCATTTAAACTAAGATTTGAATAGCGTGACCCCTTCGTTTTTCAAGTGCCCCAAGCACTTTAAACCGATGCCGAAAGCAAATAGAAACGCAAGTTGTCTCGCTTTATTGACCAAAACTTTAAGAATTAGATTAAGATAAGTCGAGAAGAATAGCCTCTCGTGTTGGTTGTGAGATAAAGTTCGATAATCACTTTTAATGGATGGATATAATACATAAGAAGAAATAAGTTTCATCCGAGACTTCTGGCATAGTTTGAGTTCTATTTGAAGAAAATAACATGAAATTTTATTTTGCATCGCCCTAAAACCGTAAAATATTCTTAGATCTAATTCAGAATAGTTTGCCTGCTGAAACACTGCTGAAAACAAAGAAGCCTTGACCCTTAAACATCTGCTATCACACAATTTTATCACCCTGAATCATGCATAATATTGGAACAGTCGGCTATTCTAAAGGATGCGGTTCACAGGTTGTTTATGCAAGCAGAAATAATTAAAAGAAAACTACCTGTGTTCTGATAGCTTCCACGCGACAACGCATAATGTGCTGTTCATGTAAAGAGACGTTTGCCTGATTATATTTATCGCCTTATTGTGTTTGTTTATATAGCATTCGACGATATTTTACTTACAGTACCTGTGCTAACTCATGAAATGTCACGAATTATCTGCATTTCCCTGATTTTGTTGATATTGAAATTTAATTTTTTTCTTTTTGTTCGAAAGTTTATTAAAAAATTTCGTCCTTTTATTAATCCTCTTAAACAGATTAATAAGGTAACACAAAGAATTTCCATCCGAAAGCTTTAATAGCGTAGGAGACTGCTTGAATATCAGGAATCCTCCGATTTCGCCTAAATCCACCCCTTTTTTATTTAATATACAGATCCGTATCAAACTTTCCTTCAGAAAACGGTCTTTTTGTCCTTATTTCAACTAAATAAACACAAATAACGACACCAAAAAATACGCTACATTTTCCACTAAAATTTTGACCTCGGCATTTCATGAGTTAGCACAGGTACTGTAAATCACTTAGCAGTCGTTACTTTTGTCAAAAGCCAAAATGTAACTGGCATCATGATTCAGACCGACGAACCAACATCTGCATGCACTGTTAGATCAGATTGAGGATGTGGAAGAATGCAGTGCATAAGGAAATTAATCACTTCCTAGCAACGGGATATATTTCAACATCAAAAATGCTTAGTTGCTGATCTCTTTGTAGAACGTGAAATAACAAAAGAGTCAATTAAATCATACCACTTCAGTAACATTTTGTCAAGTACTATAGGCCAGAGGATTAAAAGCTTGAAACCATTACTTCCAGGACGTGGCCCTTTTGGAACACTTACAACGAACTGTGCTTATTGGAAGAACCAAACACTTGGCAATCCCAACAAATCATTTTTTTACTGTAACATTATTTTTGGTTTAGCGTTGTCAACTGTTTGTAGTTGGAAATTATCTTTGAATATCTGCTATGACACTGATTTTGGTAGATCATTATCTAGGCCTTTGTGGCTGAACAGGATATCTGTTGAGAAACATTTCTAAATGATCCTTCATGTGCTACAGAGACATAGCAGCGTGCACAGGGTATCTGGAGTATATCAATTCTGCTGTATAGCAGTGACTAACAAGGTGTATTTGTGGAAACGTTGGTGCGTTTTCTTTAACTTTTTAAAGCAATGGTATGCATAAAAAGGGAAAAGCAATTAGAAAAGCCTACTTAAAATATCTTGAGATAGCGAGGGCTTTTCAGTTACGCAATCTTAATCCTGAATTTGCCTCAGAAACAAACATGAACAACAACAACCGTAACAACCGGTATAATTTTTGGGTTAGGTGTGGCTTTAGTAAAAAAGATTTGCCAATATATCTTTAGACAGACGTCCTTTTATTAGGAATGTTCTATTTGCTCACGCAATAGCTTGTAAGAGGAAAAAAGTAACACTAAAAGGATGATTTAAGGAATGAGGAGGTTAGTTAAATTTAACGCATAGCATTCAAATATATACGCTTATCTGGAAATGTGTTTAGAAAAATATTAAAGATATTTTCGAATTTTAAATCATTCAAAACAACAGGAAATGCGTCCTGGTTAGACTGCAAAATACCCCGAAATTGTTTTAAATCTTACTTGATCATACGACAAGTTCAGTGTTCTGAAATTTTGGTAACTATCAAGCCTGTAGCAAAAAAGTATGACCAGGCGCAATCGAAGTTATAAACGCGTCACAATTCTGCAAATGTGGAAATAGGACAAATCAAAGGAAGTTCGTAAACAATTGATACTGCTTATTCGAATATCCATATAAAAGAAGACGGATTTTCTAGGATAAGCCGAGAAAATTGCCAAAAACAGACAAAGCTCTTCAAATTGTGAGGTTCGTATTAACGAAAACAGCGTTTATGAACTGACTTTTGTAAAAAGGTGAAAACGAAATCTAAAATTAGGTTTCAGGATATTTTAACTGGGCGTGAACGTTCAATGTTTGTTCCGGTATTGCTAAGCTATTTTAAATATGTCAGGTTCAGTAAGGAAACTTTCGCATTTTACGTTTTTTCGCTATTTGACGAAAAAGCCATATTTCATGCGGTCGGTCTACAAAACACTTAAGAGGAAAAGGTGGCTATCAAAAGTTATCTAACTATCAAATGAGCAGACTAAATATAAAAAAACCAACTGAATTCAAGAATCGA